CACAAATACCACGTCTGAAAGAAAAAGTAAATCCACATTTATCAGCTGCTCTTCCGATTTTCCCCATTGATTTCCACAAGGTCCACAGAGTCGGGCTTGAGAGAGTGCCGTCTTGGATGAGGTCATCGGCTGACCTGGAAGCGCTTTAGTAAATGGGACTCCGTGTGTGTAGTGGTTTTGAGTGTGAGTTTGTGTGATCAGTGCTTTAGTCTCTAGTAGGGCGTGAAGCGGCTGTAGCCTCCTCTGTACAGGCTCGCCTGCAACATCAAAGATGACAGAGCACCAATCAGAGTCAAGCTTGTGGCCACGGCAACGGCGGAATCCAGCTCCCTCAAAAGTCCTTCCTTTAGAATATAGGGTTCCATGGGGAAACATCACATTCATTTTCTCCATAGGGGGATTGTCTGGGGCTGTTGTATACCTTATTTAGTGCCTAATATATACTCGTAGGGTGCTACTATGGACTTTTAAGGCTAAATACGGTACATAAAGTTGTCCCTGATTGGGAACTGCCCCAGTGGAAAGCTGTTGTACCCCTAAAGTTGCGAATTTTACACATTTTTCTGAGTGTATCCATGATTCTGCAAGGAAATGTCCACTATTCACATTTCCGGGGTTCTCAGAAGTCGTCATATTGTGTAAACTTGTATAGTTTTAAACGGTAATAACCACAAATATAATTTTTGTGTTCCTATTTTTGCTAATATGAAAAGAAAAGGAAAAATCCATGATGGATTTTCGATGACTTTCCACAGAGAAGAAAATATGAAAGATTGATTCGTTGGTCAGTCACGCCAAAAGAACTCTTTAGTATGGAAGCCCATTTCTGCTACATAAAGTAATTATGACATCAAAAGTCAGAATTATGACATCAAGTGTCAAAATTATGACATCAAGTGTCATAACTATGACAAAAATTAAAAATTATGACAGACTAGGACAAAATTGACATAAATAAGTCTTAATTATGAGGAAAACAAGCCAAAATTGACATAAAAGGTCATAATTATGACACAAGTTGAAATTGACATATGTCGTAATTATGTCTTAAAAAGTGATAATTATTAGATAAAAAGTTCAAATCATGACAAAAATTCGAAATTGACACTGTCAAAACTGACTTAAAAAGTCAATTATGACATAAATCGAAATTATGACAATATTAACAAGTCAATTACGATAATTTTTTTGACATACTGTTGAAATTATGACGTCATCTCATTATCACTTATCTCATAATTCCGACAGTATGTCAATTTCGACCTTTTGCGTTATAATGACACAAGTCATTATAAAAATGACTTAAAAAAGAAAGAAGTAAAATTTAAAAAGAAGTAAAATTTAAAAAGAAGACACTGCCAAAAACAAAATGTCAATTGTGACATAAAAGTCAAAATGATGACATTAATCATTACACAAGTCAATTTTATTATTTATATTTCTAGGTTGAAATTGACATACTAAGTCAAAATTATGACTTTTTATATCATAATTATGACTGTCATAATTTTGTTTTTTAATGTCACGATTGATTTGCCAATTTCAGCAGTATGGCGTAATTTTGACCTTTTTGTATCATAATTTTAACTTTTTATCTCATAATTATCACTTCTTAAGTCATAATTACCACTTAATGTCATAATTTTGACTTGTTAGTCTCATAATTTAAATTTAGTAGGCCTATGTCATGACTTTTTAATCTCATAATTATGATTTAAATCATAATTTTGACTGTTAAATCTCATTATGTTGACTCATTGACTCATAACTTATTCAATTATAATTTTGACTGTCATAATTATGGCTTTTAAGGTCATAATTTGACTGTTTTATAATTATGACTAAGCATTTCATAATTTTGACTTTTTATGTTTATATTTATGATCAGAACATGAGTTTTTTTCTTATGTGGCATAAATGGACTTTCGTACTTTAGTGCATGATTTTCAAATACTTTTTTGCTCCAAATCAAAGTTTGTGGTTCATGACTTATGACTCTTTCATGACGTCATCTTTTTTATTAATCCCTATGGAGAAAATGAATGGGAGAAATACTTCCGGGAACCAAGGCCACTGAAAAGTGGGCGGCGCTGTTGCACTTTAAACGGCATTGATTCAGCGGTGTGTGGGACTGTGTGTGTGTGTTTACTAATGCTGATGCAGACAGAATAGAAAAGCAATACAATTCTGATTCTGAACTCTGAGAACTCAGATTTAGACAACTTCTCTCAAAAGTTCACGTTAATAATCGTGAGATCAAGGGATCGGTGTGTGTTTTCGCTAACTAGCAATCTCACCACCGCTCCATCAGCCCGTATTGTGCAGAAATGGCATCGTCGCCTTTGAAAGCATTATAGACCTCGAACTATGATACATCAAATTAATGTCGATGCTGTTCAAAGGCAAGTACAATTATTCTCTTTAAAGTTGAGCACGTCGAAAGCTTGCAGGCGCGCGATGGTCTTCCCACACACCCCGTGACACCGGACCGTACGCGTGATTTACTCCAGACCTTCAAAGGATAATTCTCCCTAATTTAAGGGGAACCCGCTCGCTGGTTCGGGTGGAAGCCTTCTGCAATTTCATGACGCTGGGAAAACCAGCAAAGAGAATTTAATGCAACCTCAGAGGAACTAATTATTAAAGGAATTTTAAAAGCAAAAAGCTCTCCCATCTCGCGCCGGCGCGTTAATCAGTTATGATGAAAGAGCCAAACAAGCAAAGTGCTCTTTCTCTGACAGATGAGGGATCTTTGATTGCTCTGTGAATCTAGAGTTCTCAGGTTCTTCTGCATCAGTACACACACACACACACACACACACACACACACACACACACACACTGAAATGAACAAGTTGGGTGTGGGTCTGTTCCAAAACCTAGTGAGCTCCCTAACTAGACAGCATCCTAATACATCAGAGAGAACTCAAAGGCTTCCAAGAGACTTTTAAAAAAAATGTAAATATTCTTTAACTAAGATCAGTATTAATTTAGTATTATTTATATACTATTATTGACATTCTGAATTAGCATTTAGTTTCATTTATTTAATTGAAGTTTTAGTATTAGTAATTATGTGCTTTTGTTGTACATATTTCTATTTAGCTCTAATTTATTTTTATTTTGTTTTATTTTGAGTAATTTTAGTACGTCAACATATTTCAGTTAGTAGCCAAGGGAACATTTCTCATTTTCTTTTCTTTCATTTTTTCATTTGTTATTTTAGATTTATTTTAATGACCAAAAATATTTTTAATAGTTTAGTTAACAATATGTTTTTAATCGAATCTAATTTTATTTATATTTCATTTTATTTCAGCTTTATTTTAATTACCGAAGAAATGTGATAGTTTAGTTATCAATAAGTTGAACGTTTTTCATCTAATTTATTTTTTTATTCGATTTTATTTCAGCTTTATTTTCAATTACCAAAAAATATTTTTTATTAGTTAACAATAAGTTTAAGCTTTTTGTTTAATTTTATTTATATTTTATTTAATTTCAGCTGCATTTCAATGACCTATTTGCAATTTTAAAAATAAAAGTTAACAAAAACAGAACTGATGAAGATGCATTTACTAGAGATGCATTCTGACATAATATATATATATATATATATATTTTTTTTTTTTTTTTTTTGAGAAACTGATCAAAATGAAGAGATACAAATATCTGCCAGTGGAGAAAAAAAATACACTTAATTCAGAGGGAAAAAGGAGTATTTTCTGAGCCCATTTGCAGATAATTGTTCTCATTTTAAACATAATCTCTTGATTTAAATAATTTTTATTTCATGTCGTTTTGCATCTTGAGTGAATGTATCAAGAACGTTTAGATATTTGAAATGAAAAACGAGTTAAAAAAAAACACTGAGGAACAAAATAAATTTTATGTACAATCCCAGAATGCATTGCAACAAAAATATCCATTAAAATTGGTGGAAGAACAGAGAGAAATTGCCAATAATTACACTCTAAAAAATGCTGGGTTGTTTCAACCCAAATTTGGGTCAAATATAGACAAACCCAAATGTTGGGTTAAAAATGTCATTTAAAATTTTAACCCAACTTCAACTTTCACTTTCAACTGTACATTTTTTAATGACATTTTTAACCCAACATTTGGGTTTGTCCATATTTGACCCAACTTTGGGTTTAAACAACCCAGCATTTTTTAGAGTGTATCATTAAATATATCAACAATCAATAAAAAAAGGTCAATTTAATATAAAAACAAGACAATTTTAGCACTTTTTAAGGTGCTGATTCGAATTAAAAGTGTAAAACTCTGCGCCGTCTACTGGTTTTCAATGCTAACAAGCTGTCTCTGTGCACACTAGACGGGCCGCTCACGGTGTTTTGGAACAGAGCCGCGGACCGTGACGGGCTCATTTTTCTCACTGTTGAGGAAGAAACAAGGAAGGAATTTTGCAGGGAAGCAGGATTTCAGGAAAAGCGTACAGGCACAGACTTAATTTAGCAAATGAAGAGAGTTTCAAACAAAGCGTCTTAATTAATGAAAGCTTTTAGCTAGCAGCTGCACCGGGGAACTGTCCACTGCTTCTTTTCTTTCTTATTTAGTTTTCATTTGTTTCGCTGACGTCCTCGTCGCTGAGAGATTGCGAGCATGCCGGAGTGCCAAATAAGAGTGTTTTTTTTCTCTCTTTCTGATAGAGAGAGGTGGTTGAAAAGTGAACCATCCGTGCTTTAGTCGAGTCTGTCCCACGGCACACTGCTGCGTGCGTTACCGTTCTCGTTAATTTGGGGGAAACGGAGAGCAAACGACGAGCTCTCCTCACTCTGACGGCCCATTAGTGCCTTCATCTTTGATGTTAGCTGCAAACGCTAGCTAAAAACAGACATTAACCGACTGACTTCCTCGTGTCACAGCTCTCACAGAAACCCCCGCTGAACACTCCTGGCCCAGATGAGGGAAAGCAAGGGTCCGTAATCATGGGAAACGGTTCTTTAGACGAGTTTGAGTGTGTGTGTTTATCTTAC